CCTTGTCCTGGGACTTCTTCTCGTCGAAGCTCTCGTCCTCGAGCTCGCTGGAGCCCTCCAGCTTCCTGTCCGAGAGTTCGTTTCTCGCAGGCCACGTTGCCCTCGAGCTCGCTGTTGGTCTGAAGCTTCTTGTCCTCGAGCTTGCAGGAGCCCAGTTTGACCTTCTTGTCCTCGAGCTTCTCGTCCTCGAGTCTCTTGTCCTCAGGCTTGCTGGTGCCCTCCTCCTGCTCAATTGGTTGCGTCTCCTCGTGCTGATCGGCGCCGTCCTCGGCCCCCACCTCCTCGACGTTCTCGGTCTGCGCGCCGTCTGGCGCCCGCTCGTCGCCCTGCGTTTACCCCACGAGGAACATCGACGAGACGACGCTCTCGCCGTCCTACCGCTCGGCGAAAGGCCAGGAAAACGCGCGGCGATCGTCGCTGCCCGACTCGGCCATCCTCGTTGCCCGAGCGGAGATTGAGCTTGGCACGCGCGATCCTGAATGGGCCACGGAAAGTGTTGCGTCCTGAGCGGACTTGACCCGAACAGCGCGCGCACCACAGAGCTCGCGCCCATTGCACCACATAGCTTGCACCACCTCGGCGATGCATTGGCGGGCCTCGGCGATGCATCGGCGACGCGGTGGGCTTGACCTGTGCTGTTGTGGCAGCTGGTGTTTGCGCTGTTGTTCGTTTGTCCGGTTGCTGTTGTGGCCTGATGTTGCGCAGGTTGCTGGTGATGTTGTTGTGCTTGCTGTTGCTCGTGTTGTTGTCGGTGGTGCTGTTGTTTTGCTGCTTGCTGTTGCTGCTGTGGCTGCTGTTGAATGTAAGTTTGTCGTTGTGTGTGTGTGTTTGTTTGAGTGTGTGCGTGTGCGTGTGTTTGTGTGTGCGTGCGTGTGCGTGTGTGTGTTGTTTGTCTGTATGTATGTGCGCGCGTGTGTGTGTGCGTGCGTGTGCGTGTGTGTGAGCGTGTGAGTGTGTGTGCGTGCGTGCGCGTGTGCGTCATGTGTTTGTGCGTGCGAGTTTGAGTGCGCGCGCGTGACAGCCAGGTGTCGAGGCTCGATCCTCGACCCTCTGATCGAAGACCCAGGACGGCGACGAGGGAGATCGAAGATCGCCGAGGCTCGATCCTCGATCCTCGGATCGCGAACACGAAATCTTCGAGTCCAAGCGCGGCGATTCTCGGATCCAGGATCCAAGGCGCCCGACGACACTCGGAACCAAGATCTCGGATCCTCGATCCGAAAATCGAAGAACGAGCCTGCTCGATGGCAGTCTGGGCCCGAGGACGGCGACGGGGACGATCGACGATCGCCGAGGCTGGACCCTCGATCCCCGCATCGCGAACACGAGATCTTCGAGTCCAAGCGCGGCGATCCTCGGATCCAGGATCCACGGCGCTCGACGACACTCGAGACCAAAATCTCGGATCCTCGATCCGAGGTACGAGAAACGAGCCTGCCTTATGGCAGTCTGGGCCCGAGGACGGCCACAAGGGAAATCGACGATCGCCGAGGCTCGATCCTCGATCCTTGGATCGCGAACCCGAGATCTTCGAGTCCAAGCGTGGCGATCCTCAGATCTAGGGTCCAAGGCGCTCGAAGGTGCCCGGGAATACGATCTCCGATCCTCGATCCGAGGATCGAGAATCGAGCCCCCTTGACAGCGGTCTGCACCTGACGACGGCGACAGGGACGAGCAACCGTCGCCGAGGCTCGACCCTCGATCCTCGGATCGCGAACCCGAGATCCTCGAATCAAAGATTGGCGATCCTCGGATCTAAGAACTAAGGTGCTCGACGATGCTCGGACTCCAGATCGCGGACCCTCGATCCGAGGGTTGAGAATCGAGCCCGTTCGATTGCTCGATGCTTGATCGAGGGTCACTCGGCGAGAGAGGGGGGAGTAGCACCGCGCATCTTGGAACGCCACTCGCGCGAGCTCAAACGCTCGCATGGAGCTTGAAAACAGATGGGGCTCGAGCGCTTGCCTCGAGACGCTCGCGCGGCACCCTCGCAGCGAAAAGCATGGGAGCGCTTGGCTCGGGACGCTTGCGCGCCAGGCGCTCGCCGCTCGCCGCCGCTCGGCTCTCCGGCGTCCTTCGGCGTCGACATGTCGGCCTCTGGCTCGGCCTTCGCGTCGGCCTCGCTCTTCCCGGGCTCGCGCTGGCCGAGCACATTGGCGAGGTCGTCGAAGATATTGCCGAAGTCTCGGAAATGTATATTGATGTGCTGGTCGAGAGCCAGCGCCAGCGGAGCTGCTTCTCGGCGCGCGCGCAGTCACGCTTGGAGCGCTCGTCTATGCAGCTGTCGCGCTGGAGCTTGTAGGCCACGTCGGCAGCGCGCTGGAGGCGCCAGCACCACTTGACGACGGCCCGCGCGGTGGCTCGCGCGCGGCCAATGCTCTCCACCACGCCGTTCTCGCGGCACCAGTCGACGAAGAACTTGTCCTCGTGGGGGATCAGCTCAAAAAGCTGATCGCTTGGCACGCCGGAGGGAAACTCCTCGGGCATCTTCTCGACAGGCACGAAACTCTCGTTGATCGGCAGCACGAGGTCGCGGAGGTCGAGGTGCTCGGAGGAGATCTCGGGGAGGGCCTTGCCGACGCGCTCGGTGTAGGAGCCGACCTCGATGTCCTTCTTCTTGGCAAGCTCGAGCATCTTCGACTTGAAGCCTGGCATGAACCAGAAGAGCTCATCGGCCGGCCCTCCGTGATTCTCGAAGATGTCGTAGAGGAACTGGTATTTCTCGCAGTTGGTCTTGTAGAACAACGCCACCGCCAGCTCGACGCGCCTCTTGTCCTTCTCGTCGAAGATGCGCCCGTACTCGATGCTCTTGAGAGAACCGCCGTTGCAGACCATCTGGAGGACGGCTTGCTGGGCGCTCACCGACCACAATGCGCTGTCCGACATGAAAAAGCAGGCAGTCATTCTTACTGCGTCAGCGCCTTGCGCGCTCGATTGGCATTGGCGCATCTCGGCAATAGCGATCTCGTCCGCGATGAAGGCAAGCTTGTCATGGATATGCTCGTTCTGTTTGGCCTCGCGCTCGAGAACTTCGTTCAAGCTCGGGCTCGCGCCCTGGGCCCCGACGTCTTTCAGGGCCTCGACCTCCTGGGTCAGCGCAAAGGCGCGCTCGGACGGGTGAGCCATCTGCGAAGCTCGCGACACACTAAGGGGCATCGATGTGGGGGGGATAGGCAGTGGGGGGGGGGGACATCGACCTGGAATCGGCGATACATCACCGATGCATCGGCGATGGGCGCCCGATCGTGAAAACGCACGTTCATGGGCAGGTTCCGGGCATCGAACCACTCTCTGCGATCACAGGCAATTGGAAATCGATGTGTCCCCTCACGCCTATGCCCCCCTATCGTTGCCCCTGGGGCGAAGAGGCTCGGTGCCTCGAAAAGGCCCGAAATCTTGGAGTCTCGGGGACTCCCGGAAGCTCGAGCCTGGGCAGTTGCGGGGAGGAGGAGGAGGAGGAGGAGGAGGAGGAGGAGGAGGAGGAGGAGGAGGAGGAGGAGGGGCCACTAACCGTGCGAGGGATGCGCTCAAGAAGGAACTCCAATGCTCTGCCTGCTCCAAAAACGCATGTAACTTCAAAATCCAATCGGTCCCCATGTCACTGCCACACGCTCCTGACTGGGGAACGGCAGAGATGGTGAGAATCCCATGGCCTTGCCGCAGGTTCGCGACTTGGGAAAACTGAACTGGTGAGAATCGCATAGCCCTGCCACGCGCTCGTGATTGCGGGAGCTGAAATGGTGAGACAACCATTGCCATAATCAGCGTATTTGATCATGTTGCAAATCAACATAAGATGATAGCAACTTCGATTCACAGCTTCCCGGGGGATTCTCAAGTTCGGCCCACGCGCTCCTCTCCACAATGAAATCCCACTGACACAGGAAAGTAAATACTCAGGGGGAAAATGGGTATGTTTTATTATCGGGGGCACTCGTTTAATCATCATTACCACCACCATCATCATCATCAGCACCAGCATCATCATCATCATCAGCAGCAGCACCATCATCATCATCATCATCATCATCATCATCATCATCATCATCATCATCAGCATCGGCGTCACCATCATCATCCTGAGCATGAACAACAACATGCTCAGCAATAACGTCATCATCGCTATCATCAGCATCATCAGCAGCATCATGAGCATCAGCATCATCATCATGATCGTCATCGGCATCGACATCGTCACCCTAATCATCAGCATCATCATGACCATCATCATGACCATCAGCATCGTCATCATTATAATCATCATCACCACCACCAGAACCATTCCCCAACACCACCACCATCACCATCACCATCATCATCACCATCATCACCGTCATCATCATCATCAGCAGCATCATCATCATCATGTTCATCAGCATCATCATCATCATCATCATCATCATCATCATCATCATCATCATCATCATCATCATCATCATCATCATCATCATCATCATCATCATCATCATGCACATCCGCCTCCTTTTTCTCCTCCTTCTCCTCCTCCTCCTGCGCCTTCGCCGCTCATCCGCGGCACCCCCATGAATCGATCCCCCTAACGTTCCCTTGGCTATCGTGGCATAGCCCGGTTCTCAGGCGGCCGTTCGGGACGATTCCAGGACCCATCCCTGGAACCGACGAAAACGCCCGAATGCCTCGAACCTCGAGCCAACTCTGGATGGGAGGAGGAGGAAGAGGGCCTGGAGGGGCAGGGGAAGGTCGGGGAGGAGGAGGAGGAGGAGGAGGGCGGGGACGGATGGGCAAGCTCCGTCGGAAGGTCCATCATCCCCCCTCCTCGATAGATTCCCCATGCAGAAGATCCCCCCCGAACGTTGCCCCTCCTTCCCGCGGTGGCTACAGGTGCCCCTGGCCCAAGGTGCCCCCAGCTTTCGGTCCAATTTTGGAGCCCCAGGGGCTCTCTGGGCCTCGTGAGTGGTGCTCTGGAGGCCGCGGGGGCCTCCTTGGGCCAGGGGCACTTCTAGTAACGCCCCCCTCGTGGCCTCAGGTACAGCACCCCGTCCGCTCCAGGGCGCTCCTCGGAGACGCCAAAGATGCTGCCAGGCGCCACAGCGTGCTCCGTCCTAGCGCGGAGGCGCGGCGCTGAGGCGTGGGTCAGGGTCGCCAGCATCGGCAGCATATGCAGATGTCAGCAAGCATCAATGTTGTAGTGATGTGAGGGCAAGAGTAGATTAGCTCCTGCTCGTTGCTCGCAGCGTGTTGCATTGATTGCCATGTGCTTGCAGTGCGTTGCATAATTCGCCTTGAAATGTTACTTAAAACCGGCTTTTTTCTCGCCAGTGCTTAGGAGAACACTGTTTTGCATTATTTGCTGCCACTGTGTTGCATACTTTGCTTCGTTGTGTGCGGAGTGGCGGGAGCCTGAGCGAACATGCTCGCTGATCTTCAAACATGTCCCCGGAGAGGCCTCTGGGGACATGATGCCGCTGGCTCTGCTGACTAACCCCCGACCTTCACGAATCCGCCACACGTTGCGCTATTCGCTTCCAGTGTGTTGCATCAGGCTCGGCAGGGCCGAAATTCGTTACATTTTCGTTGCAGGCGCGCGGTGCGGTGCGAGAGGCATAGCATAGCGCGGCATGGGGCAGAGGATAGTGACCTTCCTGGGCCCGAAGCGGCCTGCAAAACGTCACCGGTTAGTCGTGCCCGCCAGTGCGGATTGTTCGGTACCGGCCCATGCATTTATTTTTGCCGCGTGGTTGCACGCGATGGGCTCGCTGCGTCTTCGTGGCACGGGAAGGGTGGCAACGCCCCTCCCGTTCCAGACGCAGCGTGTCCGTAAACGTTGGCGCAAGATGTGCGCTGTGTGAAAAATGGTTCACAAGCGCGCTGATGAGAGGGAATAAGGTCGCCTCCTCGTTCGCCTCGCCGTCTCAATCGACACCATGCTGAGACTGAAACTCCGTCTACCCGTACCCCCTCACTTGAACCACTCCTTACCCATTCCCCCTTCCGAGGCCCGTCGGCTTCTCAGGAGGCTCTCGGCGGGGCGAGACATCTTGGACGAAACATGCACAGCAGCAGAGGTGATGTCGGGCACGGATCTCTGCAAAGGGTTATCAGCCCAAATCCCTACCAGAGCGCGCTGCTCCCCGCGGTGCTCGGCCCGCCTGCTGCGCTGGTGCGTGCGCGGTGCCGAGCGTGCGGCGACCATGTGATCGGCCCCTCGGTCACGTGCACGATCTGCGACACGGAGGTGCACGCCCACTGCATGGCTCCCTACCGCGGCCACGCGGTGTGCCACGCCTGCTACGCCGAGCGGGACCTCGTCTACGCGCAGCGGCAGGCGGCATGGGGCGGGCACCTGGCCGCGACTGTGGGGAGGACCGCGGCGACTTCTGCTCAGATGGTTGGCCACGCCAATGGCGCCACGCCACAGGAGTTCAGCGGCTGGCGCTGGGCGCGGCAGCTGGCGCAAGGCAGACTTGGAGTGCTGGCGCGATGATGCCGCACCCAGCCCTGGCCGCCACCGGGCCCGGCATGGAGGGCGCGGAGGCCGTGCCGGCCCCAGCGGGCCTGGACGAGCAGCATGAAGGTGTGATGGGCCTGGTGTTGGCGGAGCTCCGCGACCTCCGCCTCCAGGTCGACAGCCTCAGTCGGCGGAATGCTGAGCTTGAGGCGGAGCGGCTTGCCGAGCGCGCCAGGGCAGCTGCTCCATCCGCGGGGTACCTCACCCCGACCGCCGTTGACCACGTGGAGGTCGCGGCGCCTGCGTCTCCCAGCTCCGACGAGCCGCCGACGGCCACGGCGAGTGGAGGCCAAAGTGCACAGGATGGCGGTGCACATGTTGTACTTCATGGCGGAGATCCTGCCGCAAGCGATGGACTGCTCACCCAGGCGCCTGTGACCGAGGAGCTCGCTGTCGGGGGGCAGGAGGTTGATATAAGGGCGGAGTTTTTCGGCGCGCAGGCGGTGCCTGCAGCGGCTACGACAACTTCGGCCACGACCCCATCCCCTACAATTTCGGCGCCTTCGGCTTCGACGTCGGCCCCGACAGAGCAGCAACAGCAGCAGCAGCAGCAGCAGCAGCAGTCGCTGCCGTCCGCAGCAGGTGCGGCCGCAGTGCTATCACCCGATGGTTTTTCGGGGCCTTCTGGGTCGGCTGGTGCCTCGGCGATGCTTGCGGCCGAGGGCTCGCAGGCCTCCCAGGTGGTAAGGCCGTCCAGCACGCCGTTGCCGCTGCAGCCGCCGCAGCCGCTTCAGCAATCTGGCGGGTTGCCGACAAGACTGCCGACGCCGTGGCCTCCAGCAGGCTTGCCGGCGCCGTTCCCTGGAGCTGGAGGCGGAGGATTTCCTGGAGCCGGAGGCGGAGGATTTCCTGGAGCCGGAGGCGGGGGAGTTCCTGGAGCTGGAGGCGGAGGACTTCCTGGAGCAAGGGGCGGAGGACTTCCTGGAGCTGGAGGCGGTGCTGGGGGGTTCCCGAGCGACGGCGGCGGCGGAGGACCAGGAGATACAGCAGGACGCGGGCATGGAGGAGGCATGGGAGGTGCCCCTCCCCCTCCGCCACCTCCTGGCGGCAACGCTGCCACCGCGGCCGCCAACGCCCCAGACGGCGCAGGCGGCCTCGACACCGTCTTGGCCAAGCTGAAGGACGGCGACTTGCAGAAGTTGGAGGTTTCTCCGAACCAGCCTCGGGCTTCGGCATTGAAGGACTGGCTGCAGCGGGTTGCACTCCGAGTCGGAGGTTGGCACCGCTTGATGGGGAGTTTCTTCCAGCGTGTTCAGGTGGTGGCGTACCAGGCGTATGAGGAGTACTTGAAGCTCCAGCCGATGGATCGCCCCACGATCCAGCCACGGCTGATTTTGCATGACGACGCCCGCTACTTGGATATCGAGTTCAAGCTGAGGGCGGTGCTCTTGGAAAGCGTGCCGGAGACCGGTCGCAGGGAGGCCTTGGCGACGCGAGCCACGAGCACGGTGGAGGTACTGTTCGCGACGCTGGTGTGGGCAGGACCTGGGACGCTGAAGGACAAGACCGACGTCCTGGAGGCCGTGGAGCGCCGGGGCAAGGGCCCCGTCGACGTCAATCACGTGCACTCGTGCTTGCAGCGCTGGCAGTTCGACCTCGTTCGTCTCCAACGCCTGCAGATGCAGCCACCCGACCCCATCGTGCAGCTGGCGACGCTGCGGACGATGGTGGGCCGCATGATTGAGCAGTCCCACGCACTTGAATTTCGTTTGAACTCGTTCGAGACGCAGCACGGCCTGAGCGGCGCGTCTACGGCGACTCAGCGGCAGGTTGATGGGTACTGGAGGTACCTGTCTGCAGAGAGCCGTGAGATCTCGGACACGCCGCCCCGCAGCCTAAGCAGGCCGCTGCTGGTGATCCAGGTGTCCGTGCCCAGATCGCTCGCCTGCAGGCCGCCTTGGCCCAGGCGCAGGCCTCGGCAAGCCCCAAGGGCAAGGGCAAGGACAAGAGCGGCAAGAGCAAGGCAAAGGACGACAAGGGCAAGGGAGGCAAGCAGGGGGCTCAGGCTGCCGCCGCGGCGGCGGGCCCCGAGTTGTGCCGCCATTTCGAGTCCAACAGAGGGTGCAGGAACGGAGGGCAATGCCCTCGGAAGCACCGCAAGTTGGAGCCCAACGAGATCAAGTGCTTCAACTGCGGCAGCAAGGAGCACCCGAAAGCGCAGTGCACAGCGCCTCGTCCACTTGCCGCCTCTGGGGGCCAGCAGCAGCAGCCTCCGAGGGCAGCTGCAGCCGCTGTCTTGGAACAGCGCTCTGAGCAGCCGCTGAGCGCCCATTGCATCGAGCAGGCGGTCGCGCGTGCCATGCAGAGTTTCGCCGCGCAGGCCGACAGCGGCTACCGGGCCGACTGGGGCGGCCAGGCAGGCGACCCGTTCGCCTTGCCCGACGCGCAGCCACCGCCGCCGCAGCAGCGGCAGCCGCCTGTCATGCGCACGTTGCGTCTGGCGTCGCAGCGCAGCGTCGCAGCGTCGCAGCGTCGCAGGGAGCCACCGTCGCAGCGTCGCGCCGCGGGCGCGTCAGGGTCGGCATGCTCCTGTGCGACTCGGGCGCCAGCCACGAGCTGCAGCACCTGTGGCCTTCCCAGGCCCCGCCGCCAGGCAGCGTTCCCATCCAGCTCGGCCTGGCCGTGGGGCGGGTAGCTGGCGAGGTGTACATGTCGGAGGACCAGGTCGTGTACGCCGTGTCGTCGACGCTGCTACAGGCTTTGTTCCCTATCTCGGCGTACGTCCGCGAGCTGGAGTTGAATATGTCGTGGAGCCCTAGTCGGGCGGCAATTTTCCTGCCTGGAAGCCGCACCATCGAGCTCGTGGTGGACAGCGACGGCTCGGTGTTCATCTCGAAGGCGCAGGCCGAGGTGCTCCGAGGCATGCAACGCATGCGACGCGGGCAGATCGGCGCGGCCCAGTTCGTGGAGACGGTGCGGGCCGCGGTCGTGCAACAGAGCCTGGAGCAGCATCGAGCAGCTGGGCACCCGCACTTCCGCCCCGACTGCGCGGAGTGCCGCTTCGCGTCAGGGCGGCGTCGCCCTCACTGGCGCCTGGATGCCAGCACGCGGCCAGGTGGACAGATGTCTGCAAACATCTCTGGTCCGCATCCGTATGCGCGGTGGCCGTCGGCCCTGCAAGAGGACGGGCCGCGACGGGCCCGCTTCTTCCTGTTGTGCGCGTACTCGGTCTTCAGCGTGGCTGAGCAGGAGGCGGCGGCCAAGAATGAGCGCTTCGCGCAGGAGCTCTCCAAGGGGGAGGATGGCGCCGCAGACCCAGCAAGCACCCTGAGCGAGAGGTTCCCGGAGAGGTCTCCGGGTGGCTGCCGTGGGTTAGCTGGCGCGGCCGCGCAGAGAGCGGGCGCTGGGGCGATGGCATTCGAAGCGGCGCTAGGCGGCGTCGACGGCGAGATCGTCGATGAGCCCGCGGAGCTGCTGGTGGACCTGCCAGGCGACGCGGCGGAGGGCCGCCGCACGTGGTATTACGCGCGTCCTCTGCAATCGAAGGCGGCCGACGAGGTAGGCAAGGCTCTCGAGCTCGTCGTCGCGGAGGTGAGCCTGGAGTTTCAGACGCGGTGCGTCTTTCGACTTCATGCTCATTGTGCTCGCGAGCTTTCGGGTCCTCGAGTTCGCGAGCGAATGGCAGGGCATGGGGTCCTTGTCACGAACACGCCCGGGTGGGAACCCAACAACAACGGGCGTGCTGAGAGAGGCATCGGAGCCATCAAACAGCGTGCTCGGGCCATGCTGATCGCGCTGGAGCCGGCCGATCGGGAGCAGCTGTGGCCCGCCGCGGTGCAGCACGCCGCGGCGCTGCAGAGGCGGGAGGCGCAAGGCCGCCCGACCTCGTGCCCAGCCTTCGGCAGCATGGTGGCGGCGAAGATTCAGCAGCCTGTGGTCTTCGCTTTCGCGCCACGCGCCGCCGACAGGGTGTTCTTGGGCATCGCCGACTACGTGTCGCAGTCGGCGCTCGCGGGGTACAAGCAGGTCAAGCTGGGCATTGCGAAGTGGGTGTTCGAGACATCGCACAACTTCATCCCGCACCCGCCGGTGCCACGCCATGCGCTGACGGGGCCGTCCGGCGGCGCCGCGGCGGCCGCTTCTGGCGAGCCAGCTGGCCCGGCAGGAGCTCAGGAGGAGCCAGCGGCAGGGCCAGACAGCAGGGACATTGATGGACTTCGGATCGATAGCGCCGACGGGGCGATCACGCGCCCTGCATGCCACGGTGCCCACGAGGCGCACAGGCGCGATGAAACTTGCAGGCGGGCGCCTGTCCAAGTCGCGCCAGCTCCCGCAGGCGACCAGAGGAGACGCCACCGTGGGAAGCAGCCCCCCAAAGATGTCCCCAGAGAGGCCTCTGGGGGCATCGGGCTCAGCGCCGCGGCGCTTCAGGAGTTCGCGGACTTCGAGCCGACCGAGCACGGCGCGAGAGACCATCAGGAGGAGCTGCCGTCGACGCTGGCGGTGGCCGCCGCGACCTGCGCGGCCGACAGCGTCGCTGACGACAACGGCATGGCCGACGCATCTCTGCCAGAATTCCGAGAGATCCTCAAGGACTCTGGCATGCAGCCAGTGACTGGCCAGGAGCTCCGACGCGCCGCGGGGGCCGAAAAGGACGAGTGGTTCCAGGCCATGGCGGCCGAGCTGTCCAGCTACGAGTCGAACGCGGTTTTCGACGAGCTGCCCGCTGCGGACCGCAGCGGAGTGAGGGCCAGCGAGGTTCTGCCGATGAAGGTGGTCGCAGGCATCAAGACCCCGAAGCCGGGGACGCCCAGCAGAGGAGGAGGAAGAAGATCAGGGGCGCGTTGTGCGGCAACTTCCAGGCGAAGCAGCCCGACGAGGTTGTCTACACTCAGAACGTCGAGATTTCCAGCGTGCGCCTGGCCCTGGTCGTGGCTGCTCGGTGCAGGTGGAAACTCCAAGCTCTCGACGTAAGCACGGCATTTCTCAATACCCCTCTTCCTCCTGAGGCTGGTCGCATCGTTGTTCGTCCTCCCAAGCTCTTCGTCGATTTTGGCCTCGTCGGGTCAGACGTGCTATGGGTCGCGAACAAGGGCATCTATGGGCTGCGGATTGCCCCCAGGGCTTGGGGTGCCAAGCGTGACAACGACATGAGGGCAATGCAGTTCTTGGTCGACGGCGCGCCCGCGAAGCTGGTCCGGAGCAGGTGCGACCCCAGCGTCTGGATGGTGGTCGCCGTGGCGGAGCCGAAGCTGGAGTCGGACCGCTTGCTGCTCGGCCTCCTTCTCGTCTACGTCGACGACTTCCTCTGCTTGGGGCCCGACGGGGCTTTGGACGAGCTGGAGTCGCCGCTGAAGGCAACGTGGACGTGCTCGGTCCAGAGCCGGCTCGGCTGGGAGGCGCCAGGGAAGGTGACCTACCTGGGGTTGGAGATCGAGGCGCGGGGTTCCGAGCTGATCGTGCACCAGAGCCCCTACCTGAACGACATGCTCGCCAAGTGGGGTCTGAGTGACGCCAATGGCACGCACGCCATTGCACTCGAGCCAGTTCCGCTTCCGCGCACGCCCGAGGATGGCGACGCTGATCCAGCAGCCGTCCGTGCGGCCCAGCGGATGGCAGGAGGTTTGCTGTGGCTGGCTACGAGGTCGCGCCCTGACGTGTCTTTCGCAACCTCACGTCTCAGCAGCTTCGCCTGCAGCCATCCCGACTGGGCGCTGCGGCTGGGGAAGCGCATTCTGCGGTACTTGATCGGCACTCGTGGCTTCGCCTTGGTGATCGGGTGGGGCCCCGACGACACGAGTGCCGGCTTCGCCGAGATGACCTGCCTCGGCTTGGACGTGTTCGCGGACGCCAGCTTCGAGGCGGAGACCGCTCAGACAGGAGTGGCGGTCTTCTGCGGCGGCGCTTTGATCGACTGGCGGAGCCAGAAGCAGCCGCAGGTGGCCCGCAGCACAGCTGAGGCGGGGATCACGGCCCTCAAGATGGGCGTGACGATGCTGGAGGGCGCGGAGGCGACCATGGCCAGCATCGCAGTCGGCACTCGTGGCTCTACGCCGGTGCTCTGGGCTGACAACGCCGCCAGCCTCCCCATCGCCGAGGGGGCAGGGCAGTTGGCGCACGCGTGCGCTGGCTGATCGAGCCGCAGCGTTGCGCAGCTGGGTCGGCATGGGCACGCTGCTGCTCAAGAAGGTCGCCTCGGAGGACCAGCGGGCCGACGGCTTGACCAAAGTGTTCGCTGCCGCCGCGATGGGCCGCATCCGCGACCACTTCGGCTTGCAGATGGCTACCGAGCTGCTGAGCCGCGCCGCGGCTGCTGCTGACGCTAGCCGCCTTCAGGCGTCTGCGTGGCAAGGCAGAGACTGAGCACGAGGCCTCCTATCAGGGCCCAGTCGCCCTGGATGCACTTGGCCGAGCCCGGGGCCATTGCCATTTTTTGCTCTGGCGCCGTTCGCTTATGATTTTCATCGCTGTTTGATTGTTTTTCGCTTGTTGCCGATGGACCCTGCACCAGCGAGCCAACTGACTCGCCGAGCTTCGGCCCGTCTCGGTGAGGCGCGCCTCAGAGGAGGAGCGTGGGTCAGGGTCGCCAGCATCGGCAGCATATGCAGATGTCAGCAAGCATCAACGTTGTAGTGAAGTGAGGGCAAGAGTAGGTCAGCTCCTGCTCGTTGCTCGCAGCGTGTTGCATTGATTGCCATGTGCTTGCAGTGCGTTGCATAATTCGCCTTGAAATGTTACTTAAGACCGGCTTTTCTCGGCAGTGCTTAGGAGAACACTGTTTTGCATTATTTGCTGCCACTGTGCTGCATACTTTGCTTCGTTGTGTGCGGAGTGGCGGCAGCCTGAGCGAACATGCTGGCTGATCTTCAAACATGTCCCCTGAGAGGCCTCCGGGGACATGATGCCACTGGCTCTGCTGACTAACCCCCGACCTTCACGAACCTGACCGCACAAGAACGGGAAGCGCCGTTTTTGCTCATAGCAGTGTTTGTCGTCAAAGCTCTGGACGCCAGCGTTCGTACTGGGAGCTCTGGCGTTCGAAGCTGCCCACGTCATCGTTCGTAATGGAGCCTTGGGATGTCGTGGTCGGTCTCTCGTAGGCCTCTTAGAAGCAATTCTGAAGCCTCTTGGGGGCCGTTTTTGGGGGCCGTCTTTGGGGCATCTTGGGGGCCTTTTTGGGGCCTCTTGGGGGCCTCTTGGAGCGTCTTGGGGGGCTCCCGGGGGCCTCCTGGACCCTCCGGGGGGGCACTTGGGGCCGAGGACCCGAAAAGTCCGTTCGTGTACCTCGTCTGGGCCCCCTCTAGGAGCCATATTGACGGCCTCTTGGGCCGCCGCGAAGCCTCTTGGGGCCGTCTTGGGGCCGCCTTGGGGCCTTCTGGTGCCTTCTTGGGGCCGTCTTGGGGGCCTCTTGGGCCGTCTTGAGGCGATCTTGGGGGCCTCTTGGGCCGTCTTGGGGCGATCTTGGGGGCCTCTTGGGCCGTCTTGGAGCGTCGGGAAACGGAAAAGGCGAGAACCCCAAAAACCTTCAAAAACTATTCAAAAATCATAGATATTTGCCTCTTTGGCGCTCTTCTGAGGCCTCTTCGAAGCCTCTTGAGGCGTCTTGGAGGCCTCCTGAGGGCCTCCTGAGCCGTCTTGGAGCTCTCTTGGACCGTCTGGAAGCTATCTTAGGGCATCTTAGAACGCTCTAGGGCAGTCTTGGAGCGCTCTTGGGCCGTCTTGGAGCCCTGGTGGCCGTCTTGGGCGCGTCTTGGTCAGATTTCTTGAAAGAATGACAATTTTTCCGCAATTTTCCGGAATCCGCCAGCGAAGTGCGGGATGCGATCGGTACCTGACCGCACAAGAACGGGAAGCGCCGTTTTTGCTCATAGCAGTGTTTGTCGTCAAAGCTCTGGACGCCAGCGTTCGTACTGGGAGCTCTGGCGTTCGAAGCTGCCCACGTCATCGTTCGTAATGGAGCCTTGGGATGTCGTGGTCGGTCTCTCGTAGGCCTCTTACAAGCAATTCTGAAGCCTCTTGGGGGCCGTTTTTGGGGGCCGTCTTGGGGGCCTCTTGGGGGGGCCTCTTGGGGGCCTCTTGGAGCGTCTTGGGGGGCTCTCGGGGGCCTCCT